AGACAAAATGAGAGAGTCAGCAATTTTTCAGTAATAGTGTGCTTGTGACGCTTTTGTATATTTGTCTGATTTTTGTAAGCAAGTAGTTTTTAAGTGAGGTGAAACTTGGGTGTACACAAGACAAATCAGATTCCTGAAAGGGATACAGTAGTCTGGAAAGGTTGAGAAACACTGATCTAGCCTGCACTGCAGTGAACATTCCCCTTGCTCACAGTCCCTCCTTTGCCTCCTAACATTTGCACAGGACAGGAACTTCACTTTGCCAAGTTCAAGTAAGGTGTGACTGCATCAGAGAAGGATAACCCCTTGCCCCCTAAGTGGGGAAGCAATTAGTCCTCTGAGTAGAGGGAGCCTTTCATGTTGCTTTCATCTGAATTCCCTCTCCCATGTGCTCAGTGGGACAAGGAATATCACAGAGTGAATTGTTTCCAGCCCTTGCCTGGAAAGACAAGTTTCAGGGGATGAATGGAGGTGTCTGAAGGAAGCTCACTCTCGTGTATTTCTTGCAGTATCTCCAAGTTTGCCGCAGTGGCCTAGGCACAATTTCAGGGAGGCTGGAAAAGCTGGTGAGTGCCACCTTATTATGCTGAGGGATAAGCGCACTGACTTGTTTCAGGAATAACACTGGTATCTCTGCTCCTTCATAGGTGAAGCTCTCCGGTTCCCATTTGACTCCACAGTGTTACGCCTTCATCACATATGTACAGGTAAGTGGGCTAAGTTTCCTGTGGAAACACATGCTTCAGCACTAAAGGGGAGTAGCAGGAACAATGAGAAAATCAGCACTGCCTGTATTTCTGAACCCTCCATGGTGTGGCTTGAGGCTGTGATCATTCCAAGCTTCAGCTTACCCCATATAAGCATGGCAAGAGACACATTCTTCTTCAGTAATGAAGGGATTAAACTTCTGCGCAGACAGAGCAAGAATATTGATTTCAGCTTGGGAAAGGGAGGGAAGTGGCTGTGTGCTGGTCTTTAAGCCATGTATTGGATCACTTTCTATTTCTATGCACGTGTGGACACTGACATGTGGCTTCTTTGGGCAAGTTTGGTATTAGTATTAACAGCAAATGGAAGAGAGACTCCAAATACAACACAGCCACACACCATATACATTAATATAATTGGCAATCTCTGCTCAAGGTGATGGCATGGGTCAGGATTAAGGTACTTTGACAGATACGTCTATGTATGGTTGAGCAAGGGGCGCTTCAGGTCAGGGCCAAAGGGCATTGCCAGAGCCATGTAGGGGAGACCGGAGCTGGAGCTCGGGGTTAAGCTATGTTGGCAGAGTTGGGGGAGGAATGAGGGGAAGCTGGCATAAACACCTATCCCTGGCTCTGGCAGTATTGTTAGCTTCTCACTTCTGTAAACTTCCAAATCCCTCGGTGAGCTGTAAACATTGAACTAGCCATGTAGAGAAGACATTTGTCTGCCATGATTTGGCTACGGGCTGTTCTTGCTAGCCCTGTGATGCTGTGCCCTGTGCTTTCTTCCTTCAGAACATCCACAGTGAAAGCCTGAGCTTTGCAGGGGAGAAGAAAAAGAAGAGAGAGGATGAAACTGCTGCAATTGCTACAGTCATGGTGAGCTTGATTCACTCCCTGTTAGAATCTGGTTGCATGCAGCGGAAATAGCAATGTTGTTGATTCTTAAGATTTTATCATGGAGCTTGTGATGGTTGGTGTTTTCTTAAAGCTCTGTCTCTGGAAGGCAGGTAAATACACCACAAACTCACCTTTCATTTAAGTAAAAACAAAGTTTGTAGCCCTCCTGGCTGTGGAGAAAAGTTTGAAAATATGACCCCAGTGCCACCCTAAAGGCTCAAAAAACAAGGCAAACAACAAAAGCAGCTTTTTAATCTCATGACTTTTTGGTGCTTGACTCTTTTTCTGAACATTTGGGGTTGGCAATACCGGCACATTTCCGTTTCAATGTGCTGATGGGCTCTCTGTGCTGCTGGAGTTTCCTGAGAAAGATGGAGCACTTCGTTTGACTAAATGAGGTCAATAATTGCAATTGCAAGTGACTGAGTTGGAAAAGTGTGAATGGGAACTGGAGGGTTAGTTACACTGGTTAAAGGTGTGTGACCCTTCATATTCATCAAAGCATTTTGCTATCCACTGTTATGTTTACCAGCTGGTCAAATTTCAGACACTCCTGTGCCATTCAAGTGAACCAGTGCTTTGCTGGCAAAAAGTAGTGAGGACAGCAAAGACAATGACTTCCTCACTGCTCCCTGAAGGTAAAGTGATGCTGCTAAGGACAGCAGATTTACCTGGAGCTGGATGCTGCCTCCTGGTTGGTTATTAGAAGTGAAGGTCATAACAGAAAATAAATGGAGCAGAAATGCAGTGAGTTGGAAATGGGTGCTGTCAAACGGAAAAACCCAGCTCGGGAATGGTCAGAAGAATTCAAAGCCATGGAGAAGTACCATGGAATACCTGCTCCAGTTGGTTTAAAAACAATCCTGAACCTAAATTGGCAAGGTTTGGTATGGAGTTGATACTTGGTACAGGGGAAGGGATGGTGTCAGTGGTGTAGTACTGAAGTCGTTCACTGACAATCTGGGGTTGTCTGAACCAGAGATGGGCTAGCTAGAATTACAGTAATGATGCATCATGTTCACTGAAGGCAGGATGAGAAGTAATGGATGTAATCTGCAGGAAGGGAAATTTAGATTAGCTATTAGGAAGAACTTTCTAATTCCAGGGGAGGTGGACAAACCCTTGTCAGGGGTGGTCTAGGTTTACTTGGCCCTGCCTCAGCCTAAGGAGCTGGATTTGATGATCTCTCGAGGTCCCTTCCATTTCTATGACTATGTCCCTTGACATGAGAAAGTGGAGTTCTGTATAATGCCTTTAAGCAATTGGCAACTGTGGTAAATAGGTTTTAAAATCTCTTCCATTTGGTTATGGAAATCCAGACTGATGTCTGCAATTTGAGGATCAGATGAATGTGTGCATACCTGGGCTGCTCACACTGCATTAAGTTTACTATGGGAGCCTTCAGTGTTCACGTCCAACCTCTCTTTTTTTTGTTTTTTGTATTACAGGCCAAGGTGCTTCGGGAGACCAAGCCAATCCCAAACCTGATTTTTGCTATAGAGCAGTATGAGAAATTTCTTATCCACCTCTCCAAAAAGTCAAAGGTAATCTGCCCTCCTCTGCAGCAGTCTGTGGCTCTGCGTGGCTGAAGGACAGATGACACACATACAGCAAAGCAACATCACTGTGAAAGGCTGCTGTACCTCTTCTTGGTTTTCTAAATGAATGTTACTACAGCTGTTATCAATGCAACTGGTCATAGAAGGAATTCACCATCATGGCAACTTTCTCACAAATCCTGGCCTGACTTTCTATTCTAAATTGATGTTACATTCAGGCAGCTGGCATCAATGCAGGCACTTGGAGAAGCATACGCTTTCTGAGGACTTAGCCATTTTGTATTTTCTTGTTGAGTAGAAACTGAAAAGGTTAATGCCATTGCTCTGCTCATTCATTTCAACTGCAGTGAAAGAAACATCCCTAGCCAAGGCTCTCAGCTGAGATGACATCAGGGTAATATACACATTTAGGGTTTCTGCCTACTCCCACCCCCTTAAAAAACCCATAAGGTAGGTGGCTTTGCCCATTTGAAAGTGGAGGCAGGGGATGTTGAACACACCCAGGATGGAAGAAAGGGAGTGTGAAAACATCACCTGGACTGCCACAGTCACACACTGTTATTGGCAGGAAGGTGACCAGGGACTCTGCCCTGGCACTAGGCGGGAGGAGCAGGCAGTGGTAGAAAGCTGCACTACAACAGGTATTAATGCTGTAGCATTCTCTCCTAGCGATCAGCCTTGAAATACTCATTGTCTTTTGGTTACGGTAGGTGAACTTGATGCAGTACATGAAGCTGAGCACCTCCCGGGACTTCCGCATCAATGCATCCACACTAGAGAGTGCGCTGCAGGAGAAGAACACTGAAGATGCTGAGAACGAACCAGACAATGACCAGGTCAGAACTCTCACAAGAGCAAGTGCCAGGGCTCATGGAGGGCTCGCTCTCTCTGAGATCCAGCTGAGGCTGGGCTTTCCATGTGTGTGAAATCAGTGTAAAGTGAGCCTGCCCTAGTTCCATCTTTAAAGGGGAATCCCTAATTTACTATCTGCCCATTTAATGAGTGAAATGGTAGAGACCCAACTCTGCCATCCCTGTAACGTGACACTGTGTTGCTTAGCCCAACACTTTGCCCTGAGCTAGTTTTCACTCAATAGGCCAGTACCAATTCAAATGAATCAGTTTAAAATAAAACGGAGACATTATAGCAGTACTTTAGAAAAGCCCACAGCTTAATTCTGCTGTGTTCCCCCTAACTATTGATTTTCTAGCGTGGGTGGAAAAAAATCAGGTTTGCACGGTATGACTTGTGCTTTTAAACTCTTAGTGCTTCTTGGCTCTAGGACTATCAGTGTTTACAGATGTCTCTTAACTCAATGGCACTCATGCTGCATTTTACAGACTGCTCTTAACCCAACAGACTTGTATCCAAGATGGGGGAGTGTGTGTCTAGGATAAAATAAACTCTTATAACAAAAACCTCAAGAGAAGCACTGCCTTATCTTGCTTTCCAGTGCTGAAGGCAGAGTAGCATATTGGCCTTCCTTAAATTCCACAGGAAAGGAATCTGTTCCCCTCTGACTGATGCATTTGTGAGAGTGCTAGAATGTCCTGCCTCCGAGAGGCTTAATCGGTTTGTTCCCTTAGGGATCTACTGTAACACAACAGTGGTCAGGGCCCTTTTGGGGTAGACACTACAAACAAAATAAGGAGGCTCCTGCCTCAGGGCTTATACTCAATCTGATTTCCAGATAAAACAAGCGTGCATTAATGGGGCTTCTAGCAGTATCTGTGTGAGGAACACTGGCCATGATGTGGAAAGAACAGAGCTAGTTCTCATTCCGTGTGAGTGGTTTCTTGAAGTAGATAAACTGTTAAGTTAAAACCACATAAGCCTGTTTTTCAGTAGCATAACTCATGCTTTTATTGATATCCCCCTCCCCCCCCAGACTGTTGCAGCAGAACAGCCAGCTGAGAGCCAGGAACCCAAAAAGAAAAGACGACGAAAAAAATAGAGCTCCTGCCTTCTTGTCAGAGTAACACTCACCCAGCACAGCTTTTCTGTTGCAGACTGTCAGCAATTCCCTGGACAACTGTACCTATAAAGAAATTGTTCTGGCAATGGAAAACAAGTACTCTCCCTCGGCTGCCTGAGCTATGCTGGCCCAATGATGCACAATCTGTGCAAGACCTTGTATTTTATAGCTAAAAGTTCAGCTTTGGGTAGGCTGTTTGGACACTGTTCTGGGAGCTGCCTTTGCCATTAGAATGTGCTGCTTCAATGGAGTTCTCTCCCTCAGCCAAGTCCCTTCTTCTTAGAGCAAGACAAGGATTTGTCAACTGGGCTGGTTTACTACCAGGAGCCCTGTCCTTGCAAGGACCACAAGCATTGGCACTCCCTGCCAATAAGTTAATTGTTTGAGAGTCTTACAGTCTGGTTGTCTCCAGCTCTATTTTCTTTTCTCCAGTGAGCCTTTGGTTATTTCAATAAGCTGATATATATCCAGAGCTTCACCTGAAAGACAGTTGTAAGCTGTTAAATTATTTCCACTTGGGCACTTTCTGAAAGCCCACAGCATAAAAGTGAGAGACCCCTGCCAACACCATGTTTTCCACTGTTTTGTTGCTTTAAAGGCCCTAATGCTCCCTCTGTGAATACAAGATCACTGCACCTGTAGGATGTAAAGATAGGAATTGAGAAGCCAACTATGGTGGTACAGTGAAAAAAAGGAGCAGTTTATTAATATTCCTGTGGTTGGACTATAGGGTTCTCTTGTTTCTGCTGACTTTAGCTGTAATACACTTGGCTGCTTTGGTCCATGGTCCTGGAGAGAAGTCAGAGGTTCCTACCACTAGGACTTGTCACTTGTTGCGCCTTTCCTAAAATGCACTTTGGCTTAAGCTTTACCAATAAAGGTTGTTTAAAGAGGTATTGCGTGGCTTATTTAAAAGCAATGCATTGAACCATTCACTTTTCTAATTGCCTACTCATCTATGCTTCTAGAGTTAGGCAGTTGGTTCTTGAAAGAAGTTTCACATTTCAGGAGGTATTTAAATAGCTGCTACTTAAGTTATTTGCATCAATTAAGATGTTTGTCAAGCGATGAGTAATTATCACTTTATCCTGAATTGGTGGGTACTAGTATGACTTCAGCTTGAATTGTCTGCAGCTTTCTCAACAAGGCTGTGCTGTGCTAAGAACAGTCAATGGGAGAGAGACGAAAGCACTAGAGTCTTAGGAGATGTTTACACTGAAGCTGGAGGTGTAATTTTCAGGTCAAGTGTACATACCCCTGCACACTAGCTCACCAAGCTAGAGCACTAAAAATAGAAATGAGGGTGCAGGTAGCAGGATGGGCTAGTCACACTGAATATAGTCATGAGACCGAAGGTATGTACTTGATTGGCTAGCCTCTTATGGTGCTGTCGCTCCATTTCTAGCACGCTAGCTTGATCAGAGATAGCATGGGTATGTCTACTCAACCTAGAATCTACATCTCCAGCTCCAATGTGGACATACGTGTAGGGGTGACAAAGGGACAGCAAGCGAGAGGAGTTTGCACAATGTTACTGCAAACCCATCACCCAGCAGGGAGGTGGCAGTCCTCTAGGACTTGCCCCAGAATTTACACACAGAACAGGCTTTAGCTGGGAATTCCACATCGTGCCATTGGATTGGAAATGCAGGCTGGCCTTGGTGCTGAGAAAGGAACGTTCTAACAGATGGTACAAGCAAATATGTGGTCATTTTCAGCATGCATGGTCTTTGTACAGAGCCAGGCAACTGCCTTATGGGAATTTGTGCTTTGTTTTTACAGTAAGTAGTTTGTACCTATCAGGTGACTGTGACAGAGCAATGCTCAACCAAAGCTCCTAGCTGAACACAGCTCTGTGACAGCATTTAGAAGCAAGTGCTGCTACTTACATATGGGAGATTAGCTGTTCATGCTTCAATAAGCTATCATCTGCTTCTCACGCCTAGCTTGTGTGAGATGATACTTACCTAGTGGGATGCCATATCTCCTCTCCAGACCATTTGGATTTGATGGAGTTACACAATCCATGGTCACCTCCTTCCTTAAACACAGGTCAATATCCACAGCGCTGAAAAAAGCCACTGACTGAGGCAGATCCTGTAGGCCTAGCTTGTAGGCAAACATGCACCTGAAAGAGTAAGAGTCACTGCATGTAGATACTTAATCCTTAGGAGAGTCTTTCCCTTCTTATGGTGGGCAGCTGATTTGAGCTCTGTTGCAGGAGCTACCCTCAGACCTGCAAGTGGGCCAATTAGTGCTTTGTCACAGCTCTTCACTATATCCACCACTACTTTGAGATCCTCAGATTGCCCTGGCAGGTGGGAGACTCATCAAGGCAGGCTTATTCTACTAGCAACCACCACAAGGCAATTGCTGGGCGGTACAACTGGTTTGCCAAGAGCTTTCCTTCAGTGCTGACACTCCCAGTGGCTGTAGAGCTGGTTCTATCAGGCTTTAAAAGGTAGCAAGGACCTTGACTTCACAGTTAGCAACAAGCTTGGTACCCTCTAACAGAGGGAGGAGAACTTCTGTTTTAATCAAGCCTAGTCCTGCCTGCAGTAATAATAGCTTCAAAGAACGTTAGTGGGTTGTTAAAGATTATTTTGCATCCTATTTGCACAGCACTTTGAAGATGTAAAGTGCTTTATAACTACACAGTAACAGGATTTTGGTATTGCTGAAGAGGAGGTGGGAGGAAGAGAGCCAAGGTATGTTCAGTTTCCCTTCTAAGAAAGGAAGAACCCAGACACTTAACTCCGGTTAATCCTCTGAGAGAGAGAGTGTGAAATTTTCCCAGTGTGAAGTCCACTGCTGCCAAGGCATGAGCACCACATGGGCACAGAGATGCTCTGTTTACTGGCATACTTAACTAGATGCAAGAGCAAGCAGCTCTGCTTTAGTCTATTTCACTGTAACAGTGCTGGGATGTGCTGATAAGGGGACTCATGTAAAGTTATCTCAAAACTAATTTTTAAACTACAAATTAAAAACCATGTGGGTTTGAATCACTAGAGCTGCCTCACTGCTGTGACCATGGTGCAGCCACATAATGGAAAGCTACTAGTAGCAGGACCCAGGCACCAGGAAGGAGTCACTTCTGCTGTGGCAGTACAGGGCTTTAACGTGCACGTGTGCCAGGAGCAGCTTAGGAGCATTTTCTGGCACAGCAGTGTTGCAGGTACTGACATACATTCCTGCCCCTGCTAGGAGAGCCATGAAGCTGAACTGCTCTGCATTCAGTTATATAAGGGAAGATTTTTTTGACACACACAAGCCTTCAAGATTTGGAACTTTAAAAGCAATTAGGTTCTAGTTCAATTCCCACCCAAGGGCTGTTGGGCCTGTGTGAAATTGGGGTGTGTGTGGGGGGGGTATTCATATCAAAAACCCTAGTACCCCAATTTGCCTCTGTTAGCAGAGTGGTTAAGGACTGACTGCTACAGAGCCTGATTGCCCCTCTCACTTTATAACAGGTTTCAGAGTAGCAGCCGTGTTAGTCTGTATTCGCAAAAAGAAAAGGAGTACTTGTGGCACCTTAGAGACTAACCAATTTATTTGAGCATAAGCTTTCGTGAGCTACAGCTCACTTCATCGGATGCACTTTATAGATCTCTGTTTAGATCAGGAGTAAGGCCCACAAGAAGGGGGAAGCTTTATCTGTAATTGCCTGTGTTAGCCTGGGTGGTGAATGAAAAGGAACTCAGTCTCTGGTGCTGCTAACTTGACTCTTTCGGCCAACTCCACATTCACTAAGGACAAAACATCTCTTAACTTTCCTACCATACCAACACTTTCCGCCTATTCTGTCCCATCAGGAAGCACATGCCCTGCAGTTTTGCCCCTCTGAAACAGCATGGTTGGAATGCTGCTGAGTTTTTTAGAGACTTTACCGTGTTAGGAGATTGGTGATCTGCAGGGCTAGGGCTGCCCGGTAGCGATCTTCACCCTGGACCAGGTAGCGCACCTCATCATGAATGCTGATGCAAAAGCGCCCATCAATGTTGAATTCTTCAAAGAGCCATTTCATGGACACCAGCATTAGGTGCAAGTAATCTACAGCTGAGCTCTGCACCACCCAATTCACTCTGCTGGTTACAAACTGGAGGAAACACAAACCAGAAGCTAGAAGGGTTCCAGAACAGATTCCTAGAGCAGGCACATTCCCTGGGGAAGTCTGTTCTCGTGGGGTCACACGATAGGAACAGTTGGTGATAACAAGACTGAAAGGGTTGTGTTGCTGGGGCAGTGTTTGACTATACAAAATCCCATTAAAAAAACAAACCCAAAACCCCAAGCACACCCACTGGAGAGAAACAGAACTTTGCTGGCAGAATCTGTGCAAGATATCTATATACCAGTTGAACATAATTACAGAAGGGCACTGTAATAGAATGATAGGAGACAACAGCAACAACTTTTGTTATTTCCTAGACGCTAACCAACCCTCATTATACAATTACCCTTTTATACGAGCATGTTCCCAGCATGCTTTTCGTGGGGGCGTTGACCCTTTAAATCTAGCAGAAGCAAGCAGCCTCACCCCTGAAGGAGCCATTTACAACTAGTTACTGCAGCTATCTACTTGCTGGTGAGTATGCTGAACTCCTGTTATGTTCTCTCTTATTCCTGAGGATATGACACATTCTCACAGGCCTCTATGGTGTCAATGGGTTCAGCAGGCACTACTCCCACTCACAAGGCCCTGGGGTTTAGTTGTTTCACCAGGACTGGGTGCACGTTGCACTTTTGAAGATGCCATCCTTCACATGAGACTTAAACCTACCCCTTTACAGGCTGTTCTGGGGGGAAATGAAAATGCCTGTGGCCGTTTCTAGAAAGCACTGGGACTAATCCCATTGTCTTGACCATATTCCTTCCCGCAAGGGAAGTGGCTGCAATGTTGCAGACTCTGTGAACTGCCGCTGTTGCATTTGACTACAGAGGTCCTAAATTACTAGGGCCCAATTCTGCCTACACACCTGTGTGACTTCCTTGACATCAGTGGTGCAAGTGAAGGCAGGTTAGACCCCCTTGTCTACCCCATAGCTGCAGAGACACCTGGGGTATGACAGGCACTGTAAGAACCTAGCTTTGATTCAGTCTGTAACTCAGCTTCTGACAATTGATTCAAGAGCATATGCTGAGTACGGGGGGTGGGGAGTGGTGCGTGTGTGTCCTAAAAGTTAAATGTTTTCTTTGCTGTAGCACAAAACTTTCAAGCAAAGCTGCTGTGCATCACTGTCTGCCCCAGGGCAGCACTACTGAGAACTACAGCAGCACCAAAACGGATACGGGTTGAGCACCAATAAACTTGTGGTTCCACAGGATGATCCAAACTGTTCCCAATCCAGGGCAGTATTGGTAACCAGCCAGCAGTCCCATGGCCACTCGTACTTTGAACAGAATAGAGCAGGATGCAGTGACTTAACTCCTACAAAGTTAGCCTGTCCGGACTCCAGTTCCCAGCACGGCAACATGGAGTGTGGCTAGCTGGGAGTGCCAAGGCCATCTCATTCAAACTGACAATCACCGAAAGCAAGAGTTCTGCAGGGCCAAGTCAGAGCTGGGGGTCAGGCTAGGGTTTGCTCTTACCTCACCCTTGACCGCAGGTGGCTCCAGGGCTCTGCTGATGCAACAGCCCAGCACAGGGGTTCTCGGTGAGGCAGACATAGCAATGCTTTCCAGCTTGTTGAACATTTCTGACTCAGTCCCTCCAGCCCACACACGCTGGCATACCACATCCCACTTTTTCCTGTGCGACCTGCGGTGTGGGGAATAGAAGTGTCACTACATCTTCCCCCAGGAACCTGTCACAGAACAGTCTCTGCAGAGGCATTGGGGTCAGAGCTGTCATGAAAGTCACTATGGATAATAAGGGGCTCAGCTGCACTAGCTTTTCATTTCTGCAGACTTAGGGTTATGACACATCAGCAGACTGGCAGGAAGGGAAGCCCCTAACTAAAGGAGCAGGAGATTCTGTGGAAGAAACGTGTCAGCAGAGCTACATGGAAGTTCTGAGCTGGAAAACCAGGGATGCTGCAGGTCAGGACGAGGTGCATTGCTGAGTTGTGGGGACAGACGGGAGGAGGAAAGATCAGGATTGCAATAGCAGGGAATGTTGCAGATTAGGCTTAAAGTGCATTGGCGGAGGCTGGTGGGGAAATCTGACCAAAGCCTGACTATTTCATGGCTGTCTCTTTCCTTGCACAAAAGCTAAAATTGCCCTTGGCCTCCAATTTCATTTGATTGAGAGAGCTACTGACTTGCCCGATTCTCTAGACATTACTGATGAAAATGGTTTCCCGCCTTTGCTGTTGACTTGCCTCTTTCACCAGCATCCTCTTTCTGAACATAGGACTCCTGTGTATACCAGCTCTCCTTTCCCCTTGTTACTGGCACAGCACACATCCGAGGGCTTGCGCATCCCATTTCCCACCCCCACTCCCTTTCACACAAACGGAGGCTCTTCTCGAGCTTTGCTCCCTCACCTCTTCGTGGTTTCTCTCCGTATCCTTCGCACGTCCTGCCAAGACACAGAACCGTCCTCTGCCCTCTCCACTGGTAAGCCCAGCTCTCTCACTAGCCACTCCCCTTCCTCAGAAAGGTGATACCTGGAAAATAGGAACCAGTAGGGATAAACGGCATCTGAGATATCCTGGAGTTTCAGGAACAAGATTCATGGTTATAGAACTGAGCAAGCCAGCTCAGAGGCTTCAAATTAATTAACTCTTGATTGGCAAAAAGCATGAGCTCCAGATTCAGGACACTTAGGCCAGGACTCTAGGAGAGCCCAGCAGCCTGCAATGTGCTCTACCTTCACCTCATTACGAGGGATTTGTCTATGTCAGAGACAGATAGTTTCATCTCAGGCAGCTCCATAGGGGGAGCCAACCTACCAAAGGACTCTTCTGGTCCAGATCCCAGGAGGAATGACCCAGCTGGAGACAGACTGAGCTAACAGCGTGGCAAGTTTCTGGCCAACTCCTTCAACAGTGGACACAACAATGCCACTGACAGATCACACTCACCACAGCTTTCTACATCAAAGCTTTGCTAAGTTAAACCACAAGGCAGCACTCACCGCCGGATCCCCTTGGTGACTGCATACATCTGCCGAGCCTTCTCAGCTGCCTGCTGCTGCGTCAGCCGGTGGTTAAACTGCATAAGCAGGCGCTCTGCGAAGGGCTGGCCTGCCCCATAGATGCGCCCGTAGTTGAAGACTTTGGCATGCTCCCGGCTGATCTCCACTGTAGAGGCCGTCTTGCTGTGCAGGTCTGTGGCGTTGCTCTTCTTCCCCTGCAGAGTCATCCAGCCAAATGCAGTACAGCCTGGGGTGCAGGAGAGAGGAGGTTAATGCAGACAGGAAAGGGGTCTGAGTCAGACCTCACAGCATCACCATGGCAATGCTACATCCTGGCCCAGCATCTTAACTGCAGTCCATGTCACATGATCGCAGGGCGGTGCTGCTCCAGCTGAACCTCTCACCATGCATGCCAGCAAAATGAGCCTCCCCGAGGACAGCAGCTATCCAGAGCTCCTGGGAATCCACATCTGCTCCAACAAGGTAGTAGCCCGGAGGGACCTGGACCATGGCTTTAAGCTCGCTGCCTACCCGGTCAGCCTGCGGACATAGATTGATGCCACTTTGAGCACGTCCTCCTACACCTCCCTTCCCCGTACCATTGCCAGGCTAAACACAACTTTTCTCCAGTGGCTGTCTGGCCTCTGCATCCTGCTTTCCTGGAAGATCGTATCATGTGGTGTTAACAGCACACAGCTCTTCCAGTACAGAAATGTCAGCCAGAGACACTCCTGACAAGGGGAATCCAGGCAAGGAGACCAGCTACTGCCTTGCTCCACTCTTACCTGCATTCCTTTGTAAGGGCCTCTGCATCCCAGATGGAGTCTAGAAGGTCTCCACTGATTCTAACTCCCTTTTCATTGAGGTCTTGCTCTCAGCCCTTGAGCTTCTGGATCTCATCAGCCCTAGGTTACTAGGCCAACTCATGTCAGCGAGGCAAGAGGGCAAAGAATTATAGAACCAGCCTCTGAGATCTACAAAGTTCACACCCAACCCAAGACATACCCCCGCTCCCCCAAGTCTGATTTCTAATCCAGGACAATTGTCGCTAGCTTGAGATATCCTGCCCTGTATGGCAGGAGAAATCCCACACCACTGTGCTCCACAAATAATCCCTCTCCAGAACACAAAAAGAGCTAGTTCTGTACCCGGGCATTGCTGGCAGTCAGCCAGGTGGGTTCCACAGCCCGACGAGTGATGGTCCCTGCTGTTATCACCTGCGGCAGGATGGCTCCATAATTACTCTCCTCGTCATAGTCCGGATGTCTGGAATAGAAGCAGAGTGTCACTGCCTGCCCACTGGAGAGCAGCAGGAATGAAGGCGGCCTGGCTCTGGCTTTTCCCACACTGAGAATCAGTAACTGAAAGGGACTTCCCAGTGGCTGTAGCCAAGAAAGATCCATCACATGGGACTGCATTTCTAAAGTCCTTTTATAATCCCATCTTGGAGCCTGATTGCTGAGCTAGTTCCAGGGTCAACATAGGCCAGAGAGTTGAGACTGATGGGAGGAAGTAGGGGAACTAGGAAAGAGACTATTCCCCTTGTACTGCCCCAATTCTGACCCCCTTAAGGATTCAGGTTCCCATAGCCTCAGATAAAGAAAGGTCCACTAGTCAAAGGTCAGATTTAACTGAACAGAGGCCACTGACCTGTATGGCATTTCCTCACATACCTAGTTACTGATCGAGGCAGCTCCCCTTTCTTCAGCCACACAACCATTTGGGAGCTGTCGAAACAAGAACACATGAGGCCAGGGCCCCAGTGAGACAGACTGTGAAGAGAAAGGCCATGAACAGCAGCAGCTGAGCCAGGAAAACCCCTCAAGGGAAGATCTCACCCTGGATCTTCAATTCTATTTGGGGAACCCAGTCTCTCTCCCCCACCCCCAAGTTTGCATCCCCTTTTCTCAGGTTCTTTCCTTCAGCTGCTCAAGGCCCACACACTAGAGCTGAGCATACTGTCTCCACGGTGCTTCTAGCCCTTGCCATGCCAGCATGTGCCGAGGGCAAGGCAATTTTAATGATCAGTTAAGCAGGTTTTGGGTACTTTTGACTGCCAAAAGATTTAGTTTGTGGGAGATCTGTCCTCTTGCTTGGGTTGAAGCAGCACATTCTGGCACTGCCCACACTCCTACAGCCCAGTTAGTACCCATTCCCATTAACAATGGCTGCTGCTCACTATGGAGGAGTAAAAAGGTGCCACCAATGGGCAGAGTGATCAGGAGCCACTCAGACATTTGCTGTTTTCCCACCTCTAACTGAATGCTACATGGAAAAAATGCTTTAAACGGAGGGATGAAAACTTCAGCTTAATCCAGACCATGGGGCAAAATCATTCATTCACAGGATAGGACATTGAGGCTGTGATAAGAGATAGGGCTTCATCCCTCGGACCTGCTTTCCTCCCTCAGATCCTGCATCTCCAGTACCACAGTTCAGATTAGCCCCCTGTAATGTGGTCAGGCAGATACAACCCCACACAGCAAACTGTAAGGAAACAGACAGTGATATTTAACATGGGAGGAGCGCCCTGTCCAAAAAACAGCAGTGGTCAAGGGGCATGTTACAATTTTGAAGTTACTGTACTCTGCTATGAGGAGTTAGTAGCAAATCTACCAGACCCCCCAACGTGTGCATTTACCTGCCTGACTCCAGGAAGTGCTAACAGTGGGGGCAAATGGACTGTAGATTTGTAATAGTCTGAGAGTACTTCTGCAGCACTAAATGTCTAATCCTCCCACCCCAGTCCCTAGGAATCCTAGTGGAGAGTTTCTCCATATTAGATATAGCTGGGCCTTGACATTCCCCTGACCCTTACCCATAGGAGCACCTGTTGAACTGCCATTGCATTCTTTGGGAGTTGAAGACACTTGCCCCTCCAGCCCCAGATCCACAGCACTAGGATTCTTGACCCAGTCTGCTTGCTCATTGTTTAAGCTCCCTTCCTGGTCTCACCCATTAGAGTTTCATTTGGGCTCTTTGCCTAATCCCTTTTTTTCTTAGGCATGCAAAGTTTGTGCCATGGATCAGCCTCTTTAGAGGCCTTCAGGGCTCTTTCCCTTATCAGCTCTAATGCTCCTCCAATGCCTCAGCGTACAGAGGTGCACTATGCCACAGTTCCTGTGCAAATCCCGCTATCATTGGTCACTCTGCAGCAGATCCCCCATGGGTGGGGACTTCGCAGTTTAACTGGGGGAGGAGAGGAATTAGTGTCTATCTCACCTGATTCGCTTGTGAGCGTTCCTCCAGAACGAGATCATTTTGTTAATTTCAAGGGCCCTTGTCCCATCAGTGCCCCCAGTGCCGGCCCGTAGGGTGCCATCCTCCATCCTGGGCAAAAAATCCTTGGCAAAAGGGCTTCCAACATTGTTGTCATTCCCATCCTTTAACAGCAAAAGAAAGGAAGTTGACTTGGCTCTGTGCATTGGGCAGTTATTATTATTAACTAGAAATGAAGCCCTGGTCACTTCCCTGCCCCATTCCACATCTGTACAAGCACGTCCTTAACACCAGCCCTGCCATGAGCTGCTGACCAGGGCAGGTGGCTACATCAAAGAAGTGGAGGCTGAAGAAGGAGCGCAAGTGCATTCAGCAGACAGGAACTGGGAGGCTAATCCAGCTGAAGGTACACAATCCTGAGTGGGAGGAGGGAAAGTGAGGAGCCATAGAGGGAGGAGGGGAGAGGAGAGCAGAGAGGATGAAGAAGAAGAGACCGTGCAAAGCCTTGAAGGAGAAAGTGAGGAGCTGGGACTTGGTCCAGTTAGGCCAGTAAAGGGCTTTAGGGAGGCTGAGTACAGTCTCATCTGAAACGCGAGGTATGTACTTGATGTGCATTTCAGTGGGGAACTGTTCAGTACACCCCAGTGAGGACAGCAAGAGCATAGCTGGGTCAGTGCAGGGGGAATGGTCTCCAGATATGTCACTCGCTCCCCCTTTGGAGCCAGCCATGGGTCTCAAACGCCATGCCCTGCACTCCACGGAGGGCTCAGCAACAAACAAGAAGCATTCTATGGACTCCACTCACCTTATGAGGCAGCCTGAAGAACCAGCAGCCAGGGATGTTGATATCATTGTAAGGGCCATTGCCATGGTGATATATAGGCTGGCTCTCCGCACACTCCAGTTCCAGGTAAGCAGTCTCTCCCTGAAACCATCCAGCATGAGACACTTGCTAAACTTAGAGCCAGAAGAAGGAAAAGCCTCAGGGGTGGGGGAAGCACCTAGTTAATGATAGTGCCAACTCAACTACACAAGCACCGGGAAATAAAAGCCTGACTCCTCACACACTACAATGGAGACATCCATTGGACTCCTGAGAGCAGCATCCTAAAGGGACCTTGCTATGGAGGGAACTGCTCCTCGTCAGCCATGCAGGAGCTTGGGTCCTCTTGTTCTGCTTGGAGAAGCACCTGTTCAGTGAATCCCAGTTAGCTGACACACTCCCACGTTCCACTTACCTGTCTGGGCCCTTTAGCTGTTCTGTCTGATTCAGCTTCCAGATCAGTATCCATCTCCAACTGGCTCAGCACCTCCACCTGGAAACAAAGGGGACAGAAGGATCAGAGAGCTTCTTAGTATGTTCTTTGGCTTCCTAGACAGCTCTTCCAGGAACCTCTTATAGTATGGGGCTGCTGTTCTCCAGCACCACTGTTGCGCCCACAGCTCTCCAGCTTCCTCATTTTTAAAGTGAGTTGTGTGTTGGTGAAAGGTGTCAGCTTGATATCTAAGACGACTTTAGGCATCTGTTTATCCTTGAAACAGGTACAGACTAGGAAGCAGCAGGGCAATAATGTGCAGTAATGACCTGGAGAGACCACCCTGGGGCAAATGGGGAATTCAGGCTCCATAGCTATTAGTCTCTGGCCTCTCTGCCGAGACTCTCAGCAAAGAGGCCAGTTCTTTTCACACAGGCTGCTGAAGAGCCATCAGAGGACAAGAACTCTGTCACTTATCACTGTGCTGGATTTGAATCAGCAGCAGGGATGAAAGAGGCTCTCTACCCCATTCCCATCCAAGCCGGCCAGTCCCCTTTCTTACATCACTTTAATTGGATATAAGTACAAAAAAGTGTTTAACCAGCAAGAAAGCAGCTGTGCAGAACAGGATGGGGGTTTAGTGAATGTCTGTGAGAAGAGGGCCTCTGGGCTCCAAAATGGGATTCTCTGTTCCAGGCTACAAGAAATTCTCTTGCTTCTCACTACTTCAGACCCTCCCTTCTTTCCCTCAACCCTCTCTGAAATGACTTCTCAGTTGCTCCAAGTCACAGGCTGCTAAGATTTGGCATTAACAAATCTCTGAGAAGGGTAGCCACCTGGCCAGACTTTTAGTAGCTGAAAACCAGAGGGACTATGGGAGTGAAGAGGTCAGATGTTGGTTCAGTGGAGTTGAACTGAACTCGGTATTTTTTAATGTTCTGTTCATATATTAGAAAAAATAATAAAAATCAAGATTCCTTTCAGGGAAATGACCATTGAAAGCAACCCCCGTGTGAATCAGTCAAGGCTAATCGAGAAAGCCAGCCACAGGGAAAATGATTGAGGAACCCAGGGGGATAGTTGGTTTGTTTGAAGGTGCCGGTTCATTTGCAGGGCAGGAGCCAAAGGCAGTTGGGCCCTCTCTTCTCACTCAAACAGGTGGACGTCCGTCACGCTTTTCCAGGGGGAACAGGTGCCTTGGACAAGTTTTCTGAGCCTCTACTCCCTTCGTCCCTCAGTTCCAGCAAACCCAGCTTTACCTGTTGCCAGATAGTGCTGTTGTCTGTTAACATGAGCTCCTCTTCAAGGCAGGTGTTCAGTGAGCCAGGCTGCTCATTCCCTCTCTCCTTACAATGCTCCTTATACAGATCCTCAATAACCCTAGAGGGAGAAGGCAAACGAGAGATGAATGGTACTCAGGAACCTGTGTCTTTGGGAGCAGAGACAGGTTTCATATCGAGCATCTGAAGTGGAATTTATTACCGCCACAAGCAGCGCCCTAGGACAGTTACCAGGCTCCACAAGGACATCTGTTCAGATAAAAAGATGAAAATAAGGGCAACGTACCCCCCAGCATCCCTCAGAAGGAGAGGCCAAGATTCCCAGCCAAACACTGCTTAGCCAGCGAGGTTTTTTCTCTAATAGGAAGGGAGAAAAGCACAGGCTTCTGTTCAGGGAGGAATAGATGCATCTTTAATGCCCTCAGGTTACTGCCCTGTTTGATTGACAAGCAGTTTGAGACTTTGGAGCTCTGGATTAATTTGCTGACCTTCTTCCCAGAACCTCACTCCCCAAACCTGTTCAGCAAATAACCACTAAAGATCAGAAGTCTTAGCAACATGGGACTCTCTTCCAGCTTGGTGAATACAGTAGCTTTACTGCTGACATCTCCTTAGATAGCGCATCCCATCTCTCTCACTCTCCTACCTGTGTGGGCAGGATGGCTCTTCTGTCTCTGAGAGATCCTTTGGCAAATTGTCCTTCCTCCCTGGCACCAAATAGCCCCAGCCATGCTTCTCAGAGTAATGCAGTGGGAAACCATCCCAGGTTAGTCTCATTAGCTTTGGTGTCACTCTCATCTGAAGGCTCATGAGACTGGGACCTGGCACCCAATCTGGATCATTCAGGCGTGGGCAGAGTTTACGGTACCATCTAGAGACCCAAGACAGTAACAATTAGGTTGGGGAGAAAAGCTTCAAGAGCAGTTCAAAGTTTCCTCCCCATTTATTTCCTGGTTAACAAGACAACATGAGAAATTCCCTTCACTATTAATGTTTCGAGGTGGTCCATCCTATTTCATCTTTTAGCCTAGGACAGCACATCTGTCGGGCTCACTTAGTTGATCAGCATCCAGTGAATGATCAATGGGACCATCAGCAAATGCGAGACCATCTGAGTGGAACTCTCCCATCAAAAGGAAACATTAAGTGGCTGTCTCCTACCTACATGTTCAAGCACACACCTTCCAAGTGCTGCATGTCTAAGGGACAGGGGAATGATTTTGCCATCTGTCTGGAGAAGCTTGAATATTTTTTCTGTCTCTTTGGGACAAAGGATAGAAGTGGAGTATGAGAAATCTTGGGAGTATGGGGATTTCTCTTCCTCTTCTGGGAAGAGCACATGCTCCAGCTCAGGAACCCATTCTCAAGAACTGCCAGCCTTGAGAGGCAGTTTCAGATTTTCTTTGGGCATAGAACAATGTATATGTTGAGTATACCTTCAACCCCAGATAGCAGGGCCATGGGGTAGCTGCAATGCTTCCAACATGCAGGAGGGTCCATCTTCTCTAGAAGTGGGAGGCAATTTAAATTTCCACATTGGCTCAGCACAGGCCACTTTGAGCGGAACACTTAAATGTGCCCAATTCTTAGTGGCGGCTTCCAGAGATGATCTCCTGTCTACGGAAAGCTAAACTGGGACCCACTAATCTCACAACAGCCAGAGTGTAACCCTGGCCTCTGAAGCAAAAGGTACATACTTCATCCACTCAGTTTCCAGGCTCTCCACTTCATCTACCCTTCTACCACCTGTTAGACATTTAATGCTCAACAACAAAGGCATTTAGAAAGGACTGGACAGCTGGAATACCCTGGCCCCATGGGCAGGAAGAGGAGCTCAGATAACACATCCATAGATTTGTAATAGCAGCTGGAAATGTTTCCATCTACAAACCGAAGTCACCATTAGGTGGTGAGTTATGCAAATCCCTTTTGAATGACTCACCCCGGGTGGCCTGGCAGGTGCTGGGTTCTCTTTGGTAGCAAACTGATAGTCTCCTTCAGATGCTCCAGGAAGGCCCATCTCTCAGGGACTCTCAGCTCTTCCTCTTCACTGGGGGGACCAGGATCTGATTTTGTAATAAACGTAACCTCAGCAAGAGATGTTCTCTCTGCACCCACTTGAGAATGCAGCATGATGAGAAACAGTGCCCTTTCCGACAGCGCACTCTAATACATGCATGATTCAATGTTTGCTCAGTTGTTTCTATTCCTCCTTTTCTAGAAAGTTACACTGACTATGCCTCTACTTGACAGCTGGACTTTCCCATGGTTCAGATTTGCCACTGCTTAGACTCTGTGCTACATGTCTTTCCTGCAACCTCATTAGAACTTAGAGATAGTTGGTATTAAACCCGTTTTCCATCCTCACCTCCCCACCATGTGCATGCACCAAGAGCACTACCTTCCTGCCACTCTAGGGCAGACGGTTTTTCCACCACTTTGGCTGGCTCGCTGTTTACATCTTCATTTTTCTTCCTTACTGTTTTCTTCTTCTTCTGCTTAAATTCCTGTAGGTCCCACTCCAGGTCCCATAGCCACGGGTCATCCTTATATCTGCATGGCAGAACAACATTACACGTAACTTGTTTTGGCTTTGTGTTTCTACATCCTGATCTAGACTCTGCCGACGTCCTGAATTCTGACACCTGGTTCCAGTTTACTTTACCAGGGACGAGGAGGGATACACACAGACCTAATTTTTGACTATTTTCCCTATGAAGCATTAACTTGAGAGTTATGAACAGAATAAAAGCAGTGGACCACAGCAATGCCAGCTTCCCGCATACTACCCTTTGCCAACATGCCTCGCCCAGACTGAGCACTCAGAAATCCAGTCTCCATTGAATCTTCAGCCTCTACAGAGGCTGCTAACAAGCTGGTGCCAATTCTAAAGATAGTTTCTGAGCTGTGAACACTTGTCTGCTAGGGATTGGATTGAGGGCCAGCCCTTACGAATATGGGGACAGATTTGGTGATCAACAATCTCCTTAGCCATCTAAACACACTATTGTCGTATCAATGCTAAGTAAATTCCTTTGCTGTTTTAAAATGAAAAATGCTTTCTCTCCCTGCACTAAGTGCCAGGATCTAAGCCCTTTCCTCCTTTGCATTTCCCCCTGCCATGATGCTGACCCAGCTGGTACCTCTCTTCATAAAGCAGCTGACAGGCATCATTGGCCAGGTTCATCAGGGATTTCTTCATCTCTTTCTGCAGCTCCTCATAGGTGTCCTGAGTCTCATCCAAGTACCTCTCCCAGTTCTGATTGACAGGCAGGTAAGAAACGCCCATTTCCAGCATCCCTGCAAAGGTCACAGGATGTGGGCATCTACAGCACAAATACATATGGTATTAAGCACAACCCAGAAGGCATTTGGCCTGTAAGCACTAGGCTATTCTACAACTAAAGATACAAAATCTGTAACTTCAGCTCTATTTCCACTTAGGAGTTTCCCAACCTCACGCTACTGCCCGGAACTGTCTATGGCTTTTGCCCTCCTACACCGGCAATTACTGAAGGCCTTAATATGAATCTGTATGTAGGGCAAGCAAAGAAAGTCGATTTCACCAACAAGATCCCTCAGTCCCATCCATGAGAGCTTCATTACAGGATCCCTCTCATTAAGAGCTGCCCATTTTATCTGAGTGTGAAATTATGATGCTTATTCCTTCTAGCCAGGAGAGAGGGATAAGGGTCCCCACGCAATGGGGCTCTGTGCAGCCCCAGAGTTTTGGCACCCATCTGCCATTGCAACTTTCCACAACATAAAGAACTTGGATGCTGATCGCCAAGCTGGAAATGAGTTTACCCCACATCTCCAAGAGGATCAAACTCAGGTCCTCAGCATGACTGCATAAGACTGCAGCAACTGTGCCAAATTCCCTGTATCTGTGGCCAGATTTTCATGGCTCCTTGCAACAGTTAATTTTTGTGTTGGCTGAGGTCAAACTCCTTCTCACCTCTCCATGAAGAGTGGCAGCTGCTTCTGGAACACTTCATGAGTGGCTTGGACATCAAGGGCACAGTACTTCATCAGTTCCTTTGGGGCAGAAACAGGCAACAAGTAGGAAGATTAGACTGTGTGTATAGAGCATAGTGCAATGAACTGGTCGAGCCCAGGGGAGCAATAACTTAGTGTCATTGTGACTGTCATCCAGTTACACTAAATACCTCCACAAGAGTTTTCTACCCCTTCCTCACAAACTTCCCCTCAGGTCTCTCCCTGGGAAAGAAATCTCAGTAGTCTGGGTCAGAGGCATGCAAATCTTAGTCAACCAATGGCCATATTGGCAATGTGCTGGGAGACAGAGACGTGCACCAACTTAGCAAGAAAAAGGACCCAATTGTAACTGCCCTGATCATTAGTATGGAGATGCTGCCTGTGGAGACTACTAACAGTAGCACAAAGTGCTCCATCTTTCCTGGGGATGCTTTGTATGTATCCAAAAGCCACTACAAGGAAATGGAAAACATGCTGCTAGCAAATGTTATTCCTGCTGAGAGTTTTGTTTTTATAATTAAAGAAATCCCCCAGGCCTGGCTCCTCCTCCCCTGGCCTCTCCCAGAAGCTGCTCCCCCTTACCTGGAAGTTCTGTCTGATGTCACTCATGCTCCCCTTGACAAACAGCTCACGGGCCTCTTTCTCCAGCGGCTCACCCCCAACGTACAGGTCATGCACATCTGCAAGGTTGTTAATACTGCTGATGTTCACCCAGTCCCATGAGCCAATCTGTAAAGAGACAAGCCAGCAGGCCAGCTCAGGGCAGGAAAAGAACTGGCAGCTAAATAATATATCTAAAGTACAGTTATGATAAGAAAACAGACTATATACAAATTATTATTTGTATTACTATAGTGTCTAGGAACCCTAGTCATGTACCAGGATCTCACAGTGCTAGGCACTGTGCAAACTCACAACAGATAGTCTCTGTATAATCTAAGGTTTTTGTAGGCATCATGGCAAAGGAGAGTTTTGGAAGGGGATTTGGAGGAGGATAATGAGGTAGCTTTGCAAATGTTTACAGGTAGCTCCTTCTGAGCAATAAGGGGTAGCATGGGAGAAGACACAAAGGCAATAGAGAAGGGGGATCCAATGGAGGGATAATATGGTCACAGTGACAGGCGAGGACAATAATCTTTGCAGCAGTATTCCGAACATATATCAGTGGAGCAAGATTGTTTTTGTCAAGGTAAAAGGGCACTCCCTTATTCCACAGACTTGCTCCTCCTGTGTTTGCAAGTCAGAGCTACTGGCTTTATTGTCACCAACCACTTCCTACTCCTTTGAAGCTACAGGAGTGTAAGATGGCTCCACTGTGCCTTATGCACTAGGTCACCAGCAGAGTTCTGACTGCAGTCCCTTTCTACCTCCTATATCATCACATGTAATAAAGAGCCTAGCTCAGTTTTTAGACCCCAACTGGAATTTACAGAGATGGCCAGTAACAGCACAATATAAAACATTTATTAGAGACTCTTTTCCTTCAGACAATGCAATGGAGCCATCCATTAAACCATTCCTTTGGGAAGACCAGAGCTAGGTCCATTGTGGAGGGGAAGGAAGGGGGAGGCTTTTAAATGCTAAGGAAACAAAGTGAAGGCTCTATGTTAGTGAAGAAAAAGTGAAGAGTTAGGCTCTATAGCACTAGTTAGCGATGCACAAATTTCCTCAGTGATTCTCCTACTCACTGCAGGCCCTTCAGTTTTGCTGCGCGTTTTCTTCATGTGCTGTTTGACCTGCTGCAATCCCTTCCTCTTGCCATGCTTAGCAGCCATCCAGAGGCTACGCTGAAATCCCGTCAGCCCTGAGATGGCCATGTGCATGCTCATGGTGTCCAGGAAACGCATTCGGGAGCCCTAAAATGCACAGCAAGTTATGGGTTCTCAAAGTTCTTTTCACTGTGACCCACTTCTGACAACAAAAATTACTACACAACCCGAGGAGGAGGGGACCAAAGCCTGAGCCCCACCGCCCTGGGTGGGGGGCCAAAACCAAAGCCCAAGGGCTTCAGCCCCAGGCGTAACCTGAGCCCTGCCACACAGGGTTGAAGCCTTTGGGCTTCAGCTTTGGCCCTGGGGCTTTGGCCCTGGGCGCTGGGGCTGGGGCTTTGACTTCAGCTCTGGCTGGCCCACAGTTTGAGAACTGCTGGGTTTGAGAACAGGCAGTCAAGGAGCCACTGCCTTTTTCACAATTCATGGACTCAGGCTTCTCAAGAATGGAGCTAGGTGGATGGTGGAGAGGCAGTCCAGTGACTGAGCTGCTAGTGTTCTGTGATTGCACACAGGCAATCAACTGGAACTTGACTTTAAGACTCAACATCTTGCTTTTCTTCATGCTGAACTGACAAAATCTGACACCCAGATTGGACAGCTTGCCCTGAAATCAATCACACAGATCCAAGCCCTTGTACAACTCTGGCAGCAATGGGAGTGCTTGTTCCTTCTGTGTTCTAAAGGCTCCTCGGGTCAGAAATGAAAGAATCCAGGCCTGTACTATGGCAGTAAACCAAGATGCTACCAAAATGTCTTGCTTCGTTCCACTACTTACAAGCTATTTTTGTCGCAGATCTTGGACTACTGAAGTCCATGTCATCTGCCAGCTCTGGTCTTCATGACTTTCCTGATGCTAAGCACAATGTCTTATACTTTGGCTCACAGGAAAAGGAAACTGAAAAGCACCAAGAGGCAGACTGCTGCCTCTGTAACACTTTACAGTTGAGAATCTCAAAGCAATTCACAACCCTTAATGGAACAAAGCTCACAATCCCTCCCATGAGGTGTGGAAGTGATGTTATTCCTATCTTACAGTTAACTAAGGCACAAAACCTGACCTTCAAAATTAGGTGAATGCAATTATACTTACAAAAGCATGCGTAATTTGTGTATAATTACAACTGCAGATGCAGATCAGGTGAGCGTACATGCAAGTGGCTGGTTAAATGTAACTAGCAGTAACTGCCCTAGCAAATTAACTTTGTAAAATAAATTATACATTTAACTAATTTATTGTATACGCTCAATTTTGAAAATCAGGTCCTAAGTGGCTTTCCTCAAACCCATGCACAGAGCCAAGGAGAAAGCAGGTGGATGAAATGGACATAAATTAGGAAAGTACTTACTTGGATCAAGTATTGCTCTTTAATGTGTGCTCGATCAAAGGCGACATTGTGACCCACCACCAATCTCTCTGTCCAGTCCTGTTTGGTGAGACAGCTTGAGTTCAGAGCAGTTTCTAGTGGGATAAAGTCAGCCAGAGTCAGTTGGCTGGACCAGGTATAGCGTTCTTCTAGCAGCCGCTTACTGCACCAGGAGTACCTGGAAAGGAACCACATTATATTCTGGATTACTTCAAATTGTGAAGACTGATTCCCCTCTGCTAGTCTTAGTAGAAGGACTAAGGAGGGATGAGCCAAATTCCTCTTCCGCCCCAGAATTTGACTTTTCAAGCAGGGCTGAGCTACACTGGCAGGAAGCAGCGTAGGGAAGTTTGCACAGCTGCTGCCCAAGTTTTACCTGTTCATGCACCAAGGCTGTGAAACCAGCACTGAATTCACTAACTAAATCAAACTGGAATTTCACATAGGCTTTAGAACTGGCCTATGTCCAATAGCTACAGCTCCATGGGACCATTTACTCCCTATCAAACCAAGTATTTAGCACAACGGAGAAGCTCAGCTCTGCTGCTCCTCCATCCATGTCCACTGTGGTAACAGTTAGTATTGTGGCTTCTCTTGTATATTACAGTTATCACATCTTACCAGGCACTTGGAGAAACAGCCACTGCCAGTGTTGGGCAACGGCCTTCTGCCATGCACACTTCAACATCAAACACCAAGGCTCGTTCTTCAGGGAAGTCTACAGCCTTCCTCTCACCATTGGGTCCATACTGTGTCCAACCAACTTCCCAAGCCCACTGTGAGGGCATGGGGGGCACCTCACAGTGGAGCAGCTGATTAGCAGTTTCCAAATAAGGAAGGCTCTGCTTCTGCGCCAGAATTCGGAAGTGCTCATCAAGATCGCTCCCATACATGCGGGGCAGCTGCAGCTCTACATCAGGGAGCGTGGCTGTCTCTTTGCCCCACAGGTCATGCTTCTGCAGATGTTCCACACTCCTCTTGATGTCAGCATCTGAGTACTGCACCTGAGCACCCCGAAAAATCTGCTTGTGAAGAACCTTGGACAGCATCTGGATGTTTAGTGGGTTCATTCGCCGTTGACTGGTACCAGAATCTTGCATAACCTCCTCTTGCACCGGGCGACTGGCAGAAGAACCTGAGGCACATCTCCACTGCCTGGCTCTCAGTGATGGAAACAGATGTGCTATTGACTTCCTCCAGAGCAAATGTGTCATCTTCAAAAAACTTTAGTAATATGGAGAACGGGCAAGAGTCTGCCCTTTTTGATGGGATAGGTCTGCAAAGAGAAGCCCAACAGAAGGACTGAAATTTAGCAGAATTCATTTGAGGCTCCCCTCTCCTCTCCCTCCCAAAGAACCTGAGCACTTGGAGCCACCACGAGCGACACTGGAGCAGAACCAGCACGGGCAGTTTAAGAAAAAACCCTCCAGTGTAGACAAGGCTATAACGTGATGCTGCAACTACCTGGCTTATCCCATTCCAGAAGCTCACTCCACCCTACCATGGGTCAATGAAACCCCATGTATCCCATCACAAAGCTCCTCCCCTTTGGCTTTTCCCTACCATCCATGGGACCGTCCCTACCCTGCAGGGATCTCTCTGCCAATCTCCTCTCCCAGAACCACAACGGGTCTCAGCTTCCCCTCAAACCCGCCCTTACATGTCTCAGCCTCCCCTTCTGCAAAGGGGAACTCCCTTCATCCCCCAGGGTCTCCCCCCCAATCCCTATAGTCTCAGCCTCACCCGCCCCAGCCTCCTGCTATTCCCCTCACCCCTCCCCCAGCCTCCCTATGGGTCTCACCCCCCCCATGGGTCTCAGCCTCCCCCTCATCCCCCTCCCCCGGGTCTCATCCCCCCCATTCCCCTCACTCCCCCATTGGTCTCACCCCCCCCATGGGTCTCAGCCTCCCCCCGCATTCCCCTCACCCCCCCCCCCTGGGTCTCACCCCCTTCCCCCCCCCCCACCCACCCCCCATGGGTCTCAGCCTCCCCCCCCATTCCCCTCACCACCTCCCTCTGGGTCTCATCCCCCCCATTCCCCTCACCCCCCCAATGGGTCTCAACCCCCCCATGGGTCTCAGCCTCCCCTCCCCGCCTCCCTCTGGGTCTCATCCCCTGCATTCCCCTCACCCCCCCAATGGGTCTCAACCCCCCCATGGGTCTCAGCCTCCCCCCCCCATTCCCCTCACCGCCTCCCTCTGGGTCTCATCCCCCCCATTCCCCTCACCCCCCCAATGGGTCTCAACCCCCCCATGGGTCTCAGCCTCCCCTCACCGCCTCCCTCTGGGTCTCATCCCCCCCATTCCCCTCACCCCCCCAATGGGTCTCAACCCCCCCATGGGTCTCAGCCTCCCCCCCCATTCCCCTCACCGCCTCCCTCTGGGTCTCATCCCCCCCATTCCCCTCACCGGGTCTCAGCCACCCTCCCCCGGACCCCGCATAGTTCTCAGCCTGCGGGGGTGGCTCCCCCCACCCGCTGGCTCCGCCGCTCGGGGCTGCTCGGCCCGGCCCGCAGGGGTGGCGCAGCGGCGGGGCAGTTGCCGCCGGCCGCGTTGCGAGTCAGGTCTCGAGGCTGCAACCGAGCTCAGACGATCCTGGCCAAGCAGGGGGCGGTGCCCGAATGGACCAACCCACACCGCCGGGCGCTCTTTCCGGGTGTCCGGCTCTCTCTCTTCCCCCTGTCCGCGGCGTGGATGGAATCATCCACAGCGACCAGGCCGCATTCTCAGCTTCCTATGGCTGTCGTTAGTACTTTACTGCAGAGCGGCCGCGTGGCCTAATGGATAAGGCGTCTGACTTCGGATCAGAAGATTGCAGGTTCGAGTCCTGCCGCGGTCGCAGGAATTGGCTTGAAAAAGTAGCTTTTTAAAAACTTTATTTATAAAACATCGATTTTAAAGTAGCTGAAAAGGGAAAAAGAAAAGGAGGACTTGTGGCACCTTGAGACTAACACATTTATTTGAGCATAAGGGGAGATTTTATGTACACAGAGAACATGAAGCAATGGGTGTTACCATACAGACTGTAACAAGAGTGATTAGGTCTCACCTTATCTGATCACTCTTGTTACAGTCTGTATGGTAACACCCATTGTTTCATGTTCTCTGTGTATATAAAATCTCCCTACTGTATTTTCCACTGAATGTATCCGATGAAGTGAGCTGTAGCTCACAAAAGCTTATGCTCAAATAAATGTGTTAGTCTCTAAGGTGCCACAAGTCCTCCTTTTCTTTTTGCGGATACAGACTCACAGGGCTGCTACTCAGAAAAAGGAAAGAATCCCAGAGCAATGGCCATAGGACAAATCCCAGAACGGAGAAGCAAGCACGAACTCAGTCCTGATGCAACAGCTGAAATAATTTAATGAATGTTTATATTTATTTTTATTTCATATTAAAGAGCTGTAATTGTATATGTATTTGTTTTCAAAAAGTTTCAGATTATTTTTGAACCATCTGGGCGAAATTGCAATAATAGTAATAATGAATTAATAATTGTAGCTAATAAGATCCTGGAGAGTGTATCCCAAAACACAGAAGAATATCCCAGAGTGATGCCACAGCAGATCCTGACTCCATGCATGAGTGGGAGAATATCCCAGAACAAGGCCTGTTGAAAATATAGGGCTTTGATCCTGCAAACAGTTATTCATATACTTAACTTTACTGCCCAGAGAAGCCCCATTGATTTCAATGAGATTACTCACAGTAATAAAATTAACCATGCTTGAAAGTGTTGCAGGTCTGGGTTTATGACTGTACAGTCCAGACCATGCCGAATGGGGATGTATGAGCATCTGTTCCAAAGTCAACACCACCATACTGGGTATTCCAGATACCCCCTACTGCAATGCATGATTGCATATAAAATATTGTATATCATTGTTAAATGTATGTGTGAATATTCAGGAGAAACACAGTATCACCACATGTTCCATTCTTGTCCACCCTCTTTGCAATTCATTCTTCACCCATTTCTATCAGGGTGCAGTATTTCACTCACACCCACGCTGAATACAACATTCTTGGTTTTTCATTCTCCATCCTGTGTCCTGCAACCACCTCAAGCATGTCTAGGTATTTGCCAGTGCATGCATTATTTTTTCTTAGTAGTCTTTTGAAGAGGAGATGTTTGAGGATGATCATATTTGATTATCTAAAGATCTACAGACAGTTACTTGTCTCCAGCTTGGATGCAAAATGATCCAGTATCAAGGAAAAAATTATAAACCAGTCCAGCTGCTCCTTATCCATCACGTCCAACCATAGGACAGTATTTTTAAACACATACATCTCAACCTGCTAAAGCCCAAAAATATGGGACAAAGACCCTGACAGTAGAGATAGTGGAGGCTCACATGTAAATCACTAGACTCCAGGATGCAGATTTTTAAAACACGTAACTTGTTAACAGGCAATTACAAAGTAATAGTTGGGAAAATCTAAAATGATGGCTGCTCCTGGTGCTAAAAAACCATTCCAGATATTAGGCACTCTACTTTAACCCACTCTCTTCAGGCTGTCCTCAAACATCTGCTCTCCTATGGAACCCTGATATTTACTGGTTGAAATCTTGGGCTTTCATTATGTGTTGTTATTCTTTATCATGTGTACAAATATTTACAGCATGGCCAACGTGTTCAACAAAGATCAGCATTCCTGCCCCCAGAAATCTCACACACTAAGGCTCAGGTCCTCAAAAGTATCTAGGCACCTAACTCCCATAAACTAGAAACCTAAACATGTTTGAGATTTTAGGCCTGAGGCCCTGATCCTGCAAGCTGTTCTGTACAGACAGACCCTCGTGCCCACTCAGAACTCCACTGATGTTGAGGGAAACACTAAACATGCACAGGCCCACCTTTGTGGAGTAGCTTTCAGGACTGGAGCCTAAATTCTCTCAGATTATAGCCTTACTCCAGCATCACCTAATGCCTAGCTCATAAAGTAAGAATCACACACCTGCATGCAATTAGCCTGAATTAATCACCCACATAGTAAAACACAGAAGCAGTGGAAACTAACAGTTTCTATAAGGGGGAAATAGAGCAACTAATTGACTAACAGAGTAATACTGCTCCTAGCCTGCCAGCTCTTTCCTGCCCCTTAGGTCAGTTTGTTCCCTTATAAAGGCTACATTGCGGGGGAAGAGGTGCATGCTATCCTCAGGAAGCCTGGTAAGGGAAATGATGTGAGCAGGGCTGGCCTAGCCTATGAAAAGCAGTGTTTTAGAGAAGTGGTAAATCACTTTAATGCTAATTTCACTTGTGCTGCCTGTGAAAGCAAATATGTACACAGAGTAGTCTTAAATGTTATGGTGCTTATCTATTAAGGCAGTGGTTCTCAAAGTGGGGATTGGGACCCCAAAGTGGTCATGACCCCATTTTAATAGGGTTGCTAGGACTAACTTAGAGTTGCTGGGGCCTAGAGTCAAAGCTGAAGCCTGAGCCCAACCTCCTGGGGCAAAAGCCTAAGGGATTTAACCCTGGGCAGCAGGGCTGTGTTACAGGCCCACTGCCTGGGGCTGAAGACCTTGGGCTTTGGCACCCCTTCCGCTTGCTTGGGGCGGTGGGGCTCAGGTTTCGGTCCCCCCTTCTGGGGTCATGTAGTAATTTTTGTTGTCAGAAGGGGGTCCTGGTGCAATGAAGTTTGAGAACCCCTGTATTAAGGTAACAAGTATTATTAAAATACCAGAGAGAATTTTTCACAAGAGAGACATGATCCTGTTTGCTTAGATAATATAGTATCTGGGGGTCTGAGTGTTTATGGAGTGGTGCTGCTTACATGAGCCAAACAAGAGGTACCTGAATATTAGTGCATCTGTTGCACAATGTGGTGGTGCTTGAACATAGACGAGTCAGTACTCATGCCACAAACCTTTTCCAAAGCTAGAAGTAGAGATTATGAGGCTTGTGCAGGCTGGATGTATATTTCCTGAGTGTGAAAAGGGGGGTGGCTGGCAATAAAAATCAGGTGAGAGCTGTGACTCTTGTTCGGACTCCCTTTAAAACAAATCATGGTTCTGAAGCACAACTAACCCCCTGGAAGTTGCTGGAGGAGGGGTGGGGGGTGAGATGCCTCAGAGTAATAGCTCTCCCTAATTTGACTGTAAGTACCAAAAGAGCCTGGCTCCTTTTTAGGTTTAAAATCTGGCCATAAGTGTCACAGTGGGAGCTGCTGAATGCTCTTGACAGCCCAGTCTTTATTTAGTTAGCCCTAGTTGTGCAGTTAGGTAAGTGTGGGGTCAGGGTTGGCCCCAGTGCTGAGCACCCAGAAGTAAAAGCCTTGAGCTCTCTTGATTATCTAGTCTCTAGAATTTAGCTCTCAGGAGGAAACTGAAGGGTACTGGAGTAGATAGTAACTGGTCAACATGTTGCTTATGTATCTAGCCAGCACATGGGGTGACCCAACAGGACTGCCATTGTTGACATTGGGAAATGTCAACATTCACTTTGCTGAGGTGAAAGTGTAGCCACACAAAGTGTAGCTTACACTAATGGGTCATATGCTTTGTGGCTTCTGTCGGTGGAGCACATTGCACCCCCACCCCCAGGGACTCCTTGCGTTCTTTCACTCCCCAATTCATCCCCTTCCCTCTCTAGACTTGTGGCAGTGTTCCAAAGTTAGTGTGTTACAGACCAACAGAGTGTTAGATCTCCCCTCACCTGGCCAACAACGAACTTGGTGCACTTGGGCTGTACTATGAACAAGGTTTGAACTATGCAGCTGTCTAAACAAGGTTTCTATTGCATTCAGACTACAATGGGGAAGCCTTATGAAACACATCTTAAAACTCCCCACTTCCCAGGCAGGTTTAGCATAGACTGTGTTGACATAGGCTGCCCGACTGTTATTTGTGAAAATAATCAGTTCACATCCCCTGAAGGGTGTATTATTAATTATTGACAATTCACCTGTCAGGCTCCAGTATGTGACTGCCACCTCTGAGTTAAATAAACTCACAAAGGGACAGGATCAAGTAATTTGGGCTTAAATGGGGCTGATTTTGCTAATGTCTCTCTAAACTCAGCCAGTCTTGCATAAAATTGGTATTAAACATCCCCTTCAATGGTACGCAGGACACCCTGTGCGAGGGCATCAGAGCCAGAAACTGACTAGGCTGGCCAAGCAAAAGGGAAGCTTGTAATGGTGGAAACAAGTGAGACCTGACCTCTGACACAGTCTTGGTTTTGATAACCATGTGCTAGCACAGGAATGAAGGTAGTGATTAAAATATGTTTAAAGTGGCCCTTCCCTTTACCACCAAAATCTGTACAGTTAATGAAAATAGGTCTGGAGTCCTCTAGCAGGAGATAGGTGGCTTTGTGGTATATGAATTCTTCTGGGGAACAAATCCTTTCTCTCTGCCTTTTACTTAAAGCTTCCTACTTTTCCTGTATCAAAAGGAGGGCACATGCAAATCTAGAACAAAGAAATCTACAGCAAGGTACTCAACCAGTGAGGAAACTCTGCTTGTGATCTGCAGGAGGTTCTGGGCCTTCCTGTGTCTCCAATGTCTGGTTTATGTGCTCTGGAGTCTGCAGTAGCTGCAAGTCTGCATGAATTGTTCCCTTTTACATTTCAAAGGCTCCTGATGCTGCTGCATTGCTGGGTCATGCTCC